GTTGATGTGATTGTCATAATGGTGATAATAATGATATTGATAATGCTAATGATATTAATGATATTGATAATGCTAATGATATTAAGATGGTAATAACGACAATTACGTAAGATCGGAAATGGATAATGTGAATGCTGATAGATACTTTCCCTCTTGACCATTCCCATCTCCATCCTGTTTTTTCTTCTTCTTCTTCTTCTTCTCCTGTTTCTCTCTCTTCTCTCATTTTTCCCTTTCCTTACTCTCCCCCTTTCTTCTTCTCGTGACTGGAGTGCGTTTGACTGAACTCGTCTCGCTGGGAAAATAAGCTGTTTAAGGAGATTCTTTGTCAAGATCACCATTTATTTTCTCTTCTCGTCTTTATCCACCTCCTCTTCTTCTTTTTCTTCTTTTTTGTGTCTTCTTTTTTGCCCATTCCTCGTCTTTTTTATCCGTGCTCTTTCTCTTCGTCTTTTTTCCCTCCTCATTCTTCTCTTCTTCCTCCTTCTTTTCCTCTTCCTCCTCCTCCTCTTCCTGTTTCTCCTCCTCCTCCTCCTAACCTTTCTCGTCCTCCTCCTGTTTCTCCTCCTCCTCCTCCTCCTCCTCCTTCTTCTTCTTTTCTTCCTCCTCTTCTCCTCCATCTTCTCCTACTCCTCCTTCTTCTTCTCCTTCATCGTCGTCTTTGTCGTCGTCTTATATTTATTTTCCCTCTTCTTCTTCAATCGTTGTCTTCGTCATCCTCTTCGCTTGCACACCGAGGACGGGAGGCTCGTGACACAGGTCATGCACATTGCCATTTCCTCGGGGATGGGAAGGAGAGAGAGGGGGGAGGGGAGGGGGAGAAGGGGGAGAATTCTCATGACCATAAATCTTCAAGGTTGTTAAAATGGGGGATTTATGCCTGACCTCCTCCCTGGCGCTGTATTTCTTCCCCGCTCTTTGCGTCTCCGGCCGCGCGTGCTCTCGTGTGTGTCGGGGGGGTGAGCAGGCAAAAATATTATGCAAAAGGGCCAGACCTGAGCGCCCTTTCATGCATTCATGCGCTTTGACACGAGCCGCCACACGCCCGTGGTCATGCACTTGCTTGGACACAAACAGTATGTATGGATAACATATTTTAAGCATGAGTCGTACATTCACACGTGCAAGGTCGTGTATAATTGTGCACATTCACATGTACAATTTTGCACGCTCACGGACACGTACACGTACACGCACACGCACACGCACACGCACACGCACCCGCACCCGCACCCACATATGCACACGCACACGTACACACACACACACACACACACACATACACACACACACACACACACACACACACACACACACACACACACACACACACACACACACACACACACACACACACACACACACACACACACACACACACACACGCACACGCACACGCACCCGCACCCACATATGCACACGCACACGTACACACACACACACACACATACACACACACACACACACACACACACACACACACACACACACACACACACACACACACACACACACACACACACACACACACGCGCGCGCACGCACACACACGCACACACACACATACTTCAAAAAAAGAGAAAAAAAAGAAAAAAAAGAAAAATAAAGTATTGCATGGCGGGAACGCGGGAAGCCGAGCGCGGTCACCTTTGACTTCGAAACGCTTGATGTGTTTCGGTGTTCGGGTTTATTTATGGATTTTTTTTTGATTTTTTTGATTTTTTTTTCTAGCTCGTTTTTTTGCTTTTTCTTTATACTTCGATGTTTTGTTTTGTGTGTGCTTGACCTTTTGTCTTTTGTTTCTTTTTCTAGTTTTTTTAAAGCTTTTTTTTGGGGGGTGGTGGGTCTCGCATGTTTTTTTTTTTTTTGTTTTATGTTTTGTTCGTGTCGATAGCCTTTACAAGTGTATTTTTATCTTTAGTTTTTATCCTGTATTTCCCTTTTCGTTCTCTTCATGCGTTAAAAAAATAAAGAAGATGCAAAAGAATAACCCAAAACAGAAAACGAAATCAAGCGATGAGGGATAGGTTCCCCTGATGAAGCTCGTTGGCTAGCCATTGCGGAGGGCCAAATAGACTCACTTCACTTGGCACCGCATCCTTGGTCCGGCGGCGTTTGTCATTCTCGGGGAGTCTTCCGCGGTAGATTTTTTTTTCGTTTTTTTTTTCGTTTTTTCGTTTTCTTTTTGTTTTTTCGTTTTTTTTTTTTTTTTTTTTTTTTTTTTTTTTTTTTTTAAGGAGGAGGAGGAGGAGAAGCAGGGAAGAATTATTATGAGGGAGGATTATTACTTTAATTGTCCGGTGAGATGGGGAATTTCTCTTCCTCGGCTCTGCGTTCTGGTGGTTGGTTTCCGTTTTCTCGGGTTGTCTGTCTAGAGGAGGGGGGGAAGGGGGGATTGAGAGGGAGGGGAAAGGGAAAGGAGGAATAGGGAGGGAGTTAGGAGGAGGAAGGAGAGACAAAGAAAGAGGAAGAACAAGAACAAGAAGAAGAAGAAGAAAAA